TCAACACCAAGGACATTATCATCACCACCACTTGCACCACCACCATCATCGTCGTCATCATCACCCCCACCATCATCATCATCATCATTATCATCATAATCACCATCATCATAATCATCATCCTCATCATCAGAAGCATCATCATCGTCGTCGTAATCGTCATATCATCAGCACCATAACGATCATCACCATCATCATCATCGTCATCATCATCATCATCATCGTCATCACCAGCATCATCATCATCATCTTCATCAGCAGCAGCAGTATCACCACCACCACCACCACCGCCACCACCACCATCATCATCATCATCATCATCATCAGCATCATCATCATCATTATCAGAATCATCATCACCATCACAGTCGTCATCATCATAACTCCCACCGTCACCATCATCATAATCATCCTCATCATCATCAGTATCTTCGCAAGCATCATCATCATCAGCATCATCATCGTCGTCATCATCATAAGCATTATCATCCGCATCATCAGAATCGTCGTCATCGTCGTCGTGATCATCATCATCATCAGCAGCAGCATCATCATCACCGTCATCATCATCGTAATCATCGCAATCATCATCATCAGCATCAACAACAGCATCATCATCACCACTACAACCATCGTCGTCGTCATCATCAGCACCATCGCCAACACCATCATCATCGCCATCACCAGCGTCACCAGCATCATCATCATCATCACCACCATCATCATCAGAAGCATCATCATCAGAAGCATCATCATCGCCATCGTCAGCGGCATCGTCATCATCCGCACCACCACCACCACCACCATCATAAAAGGAAGGTTGACCACCACCCATGATCACCATCGTCATCAGCATCATCATCGTCGCCATCATCATCGTCATCATAATCAGCATCATCATCATCATCAGCAGCAGCATCATCATAAACATCAGTATAATCATCGGCATCCTCAGAATCGTCACCATATTGATCAGAATCATCATCATCATCATCATCATCATCCTAATCATCGTAATCATCGACATAATAAGTATCAACAACATCATCACCACCACTACCGTCGTCATCTTCATCATCACCCCCACCATCATCATCATCATCATCATCATCATCATCATCATCATCATCATCATCATCAGCATCATAATGTTCTTCTTCACCATCATCATCACCATCATGACCATCACCATCAGCAGCACCATCATCATCACCATCACCAGCATCATTACCATCATCAGCAGCATCATCATCGTCATCGTCATCGTCATCGTCATCATCCGCACCACCACCACCATCATAATAGTAATGTTGACCACCACCCGTCATCATCATCAACATCGTCATCGTCATCGTCATCGTCATCGTCGTCGTCATCATCAACCTAACCATCCGCATTATCAGAATCGTCGTCATCATCGTCATCAGCATCATCATCCTCATCATCATCATCATCATCAGATTAATCATCGTCATCATCATCACCAACACCACCATGACCATGACCATCACCATCACCACCACCACCATCACCACCACCACAAACTTCTTATTACTACCCATCCCTCGTCCGCCTCGTTGTCCTCGTCATGCACTGGAGAGTAGCTACGGGCTGCGTCATACACCGCGCGGGTGCCG